AACAATGGGACATAAGAAACGTCACACTATCATGAGAGAATTCTTGTTTAGACGTTTTATATACAATTCAGAACTTCAAATTATTTACAAAAAGGATTCCCTTCGCCAATAGCTTCTGTTGCTACATAATAATAACAATAAAATATCACTTGGTGAATATGTTTTTTTATGGTATTATGAACATAATAAGATGATAAGTAAAAAATCGCGAATTTTCTCTTTAATACACTTAATTCATATGACAGGCTTTTTAATTGAATATCGTTTGTTTGTTTTTTTTTGTCTATACTACCGCGGATAAGTTTACACCTAGAGTTCACTATTTTAAATCAAATACACGAATGTCTTTCGATATAAGTCATCTATACATATTTGTTTTTCGTTATTGAGATACAGTTAGTTTCAAGTTTCATGCAAATTTTGTTTTTAAATCTTTGGATCACCCATTTACCCAGGCCTTAGCTAAAGAGCGTTGGGTTTTAGTTTAGCATAAGCATAATCATACACTATGCAAAGTTGGATATGTATATAACAATACAACATAAGCTCTGTAGAGCTTTTAGTCGTCACTTTGATAAAAAAAAGTGCTTCAAACCACCGTGTGCGTAGACCATATAAAAGAAAGCAACGTAGAAATGAATTATTCAGCCAGAAAATGAACGGTACTAGAATCAGTGAAAAAATACTAACACAATTTTTCTCAAATATCTAATATATGTTTTGTAGCATACCTTCTTGAAACTAGAAGAACATTCATGGTGTCGCTGTCGTCAGGATACAGTCGTCTGGTGACACTTGTCTTATCAATTTTTTTCTTTTCTGTTCACATCAACTCTCTAGTGCCATGAGTATAAACCTAAATATTTATAATTTGGTTTCCAGGTTTCGAAAGGGACTAGAGTATAACAGTTTCATTGTGATCATTATGATCGAATTTATAACGGCATTGGTCAATATGTGATTCAGAGAGCCTCGGAAGGAATTAACAAAAGTAAAATGTAATTGAAAATAAGTATCATATTTTGGAATCATAAGAAGTCTAAAAAAGTATATTCTTGGGGTTCTTAACTTCTGTCAGAAATGTCGGCCGTTCGACTGTGTCAACGTGATAGACTGAGAAAGTAGCATTTAGTTTTTGTCACTGTAATAAATAGACAAATGGAGGCGAAAGATACCAAAGGGACATTCAAACTCATAAGTCGAAAATAAACTGACAACGCCATGGCTAAAAAAGAAAAGGACCAACAGGCAAACAATAGTACACAAAACACAACATAGAAAACTAAAGACTGAGCAACACGAACCCCACCAAAAACTAGGGTGATCTCAGGTGCTCCGGAAGGGTAAACAGATTTGTGGCACCCGTCGTGTTGCTCATGTTAGTTCAAACCCGGAATATGTATAATTCGGAAGGTCACATTCTGGGAAAAGGGGACGGGATTGTAGTTAAGATATTTGGAACATATCTGCTACAAAAAAAACGTCATGCTTGGTTTAAATGATTTGAGGTCAGTTTATGAAAGTAAAAGTTATAATAAGGCCTCCGTTTTAGATTTTCTAAATATTCTTAAATATCAAATAAATATTCAATAAAGTTTGTGTGATATTGATATAGTTTTGTTTTCGTTTGCTTTAGGATTTGAAAAGCTTCATATTTACAATGCTGAAGAGTAAAACAGTCTACTTTTGGAATTTCTTTTCATCAGAACACATCTACAGATAAAGGTAAAAGTCTGACCAAAGATATAATTTGAAACCATTTAGATATCTCATGAAAGATGTTGACGTGAGCACCAATATACTTTGATATGAAATGTGTCTTCAAATATGTATACAAAAATAATTGCTTAATAACGCATTTGATAATAAACGAGATGTATATCAAATTATGAACACAATGCTCAATGCATACACTCCTTTGACATTAAGACAAGTGATTGTTTTTTTCTATATTTTTTTTTTTTATTTTTCATTGTTGGTCAAGGTATTAAATTTTCAAATACCAACTTAATCATTCAATCAATTTTTTAAAGTTTTAATTTTTATACGTAACATGGACCTTTCACTTGCATGAGAATAATTTTTTGGATCGGTGATTATAACTTATTTATTATAATTGCGTAGAATTACTTGGTGGCGATATTTCTTCTATTGCATTTCGATTCAATGAACTAATCAATATTTTCGTTGATGTGTCCCGATTTCAAATGAATATTCACCTACCACAATAGAATTGCAACTTTGTTGCAGTTTTTCCTCTGTCATCAAGTTGGTATACAAGTTCCGTAATATGTCATATATTAACTTATTAGGTCTCTCCAACTTTCAGTGGAAAACCTTTTTTATTTTATTCTGACTTTTTAAAACCGTAAGTAGCAAATGAGCCCCCTTATTTCGAACCTTAATCCATAGAAACCATATATTTTAGGAATCAGTGTAAAATAAGCTATCATACGACACCGAAAGAAAGTTTGAAACCAGAAATCACAAATAAGTACAAAAAGATGGTGTCGTATCATTATTTATTGAAGACAAGTTTTCAGTTATTACCTACTTATTGTCCATCATTAACAGAATAAAAATGTAAGTGATTAGAATATTTTTGATTACGAGCTATAATCCCAGAGTGTTAACAATTTGTCAGTGATCTATTTGAGGTTTAAAAAATAAAAAAAAAATTGTATAAAACTACTAATTATAGGATAAAGATCAAGTCAGAGTATTTTTGTTTCGGTCTAGTGGTTACGAAACCTAACACCTACTATATATCATACACTAATTGACTGAGGTATTGGCAAAGCTGTCGTCCCTCAGACGAGGACAGCTGTTGACATCGGAGTACAATACATTTGATATTACCAACATAAGCTGTTGTTAAGTATTTTACTTTCGATGAAACCTACATACATCACCTATAAAAAAATAGCCACTTAAACATGTACATGAAGTAGAAGCAGGCTTTTTCGGTGTTGTTCTTGTGTTATTATAAATATTTCAGTTAATATACTCAAAACCAGAGATGGAAAACTATCATGCAAATGACGACAAACCAAGAAACATTTGTTATGTTGTAGCTTTTTAAAATGTCTTTTTATTTGGATTTTTCTCTGGTTTCCTTTTTAAACATTACTCCTGGTGAGTAAGTTATCAATTTGAAAACAGATAAGTTGCTAACATCTACGTCAGTTGCTTACATCTACCTTCATTTGGTCTCTGGTTGATTGTTGTCTCATTGGCAAACATTCAACATCTCCTTATTTTATATCATAAGATGACGACATAGACGGGCTCATAAAGTTATCAGTTTAAACTGTATATTTATTTCCTGTTTTCCATATTTTATCAAGCGAAAAAGTTCATGCAACGGAATAGTCAATGACGTCAAGAAAAATATGTATTACAGGTCCAAGAAGATATCCAGGGGTCAATCAAAAATCATAAGTCCAATAAAAACAGACAACACCACGGAAAAAAGGAAAGAAACGAAGAAAAGACAAACAACAATAACAGAACATTACACAGAAAACTACACAGAACACTACACAGAAAACTAAAGATTGAGTTACACGAACCTATTTTAAATCTTGTGTGTACTTTGGTGCTCCGGAACGGTAAGCAGTTCCTTCTCAACCAGTGGCACTTTACGTATTACTCATTGCAAGTAAAAATACGGCGATAAGTCGGTTATGCGACAATCGAGGACAAAAGGACGTGATTGCTGTTACAAGTGAACATATCCATGGTCATCAGTGACACATATATTTCGTAAGACAACAAAATCATGATGACGTCCGTAAAATATTCAAAAGGATGTTTTCAACTTTACAATGTGTATCCCTTGATGCAATAGCTTCTTTCTAAGTAGTAACACTTGATCAAGAAAATCTCCATGGGAAATACAAGCACATATAATATTTTATTTTTTCAAGTTAGAAAAACATACTGCTGTTTTATGATAAATTGTATAACTGTGTAGTATTTTAGATTTGGTTCGTCGTTTGTTTTTGAACAGTAAATGATAAATATTAGGGACGAGATCGTTAACAATAAAACATTTAAGAAATGCAGTTGTCAGAGTGAAGGGATTGGTAATTTCAAATGTTATGTTTAATAGTGCGGGTTTTGTCTGGTTGTTCATTTTTTTTTATTGGAGTTTTTGTCTTGCATTATTATGTTGAAATACTTAGGAACACGTGTAATCTATTGTGTATTTCCATTTTTTATGTTCCATCTTAAAAGAAACCTTGACCAGAGTCGCTTACGTTATTTATGAGATAACTCGTATCATAGACAGCCTCCCATGGTATAGTTTTTGCATTTCAGTATATAAACTGTCTGAAATATAGTTTTGCTTCATTTGTTTTACATATTCGTTAAGTAAAAAAATGCAAAACTAAAATAGTAAGATCTGGTTTCGTCTCTTTTTGGTTGGGTGGATGTATTTTTAACATCCAGCAAGTAGTATTTCAATTGTATTCATGTTTATAAAATGTTAGAATTATATCAAAATGAACTATTTTTTGCACTGGACTCACATAATGACGGATGTTAACGTGCTATCTCACAATGTAACATTTCGTGGGACGACATGTCACATGACTGTATTAGACTTTCCTGCTCTCGGTAATTCGCTCTCATTTCTAAATGCTGGATGAAAGCATCAAATTCTATTTTCATTTTTTTCTTTGATCCAACATGACTTTTTAACGTCCTTCCGGAAGATAAGAGAGAATCATGCCACACAATATTCCAGTTGGTTTTTTTAATTGGAAGGTGATTTGTATTTTTCTCACTGTGTAACTTTATACCAATTACCGATTTATTTTTTGAGATCAAGAACAATTGTTACAAAAAAATGGTATGATTGAAAAAGGATGTTACAAAAGTAAGTGCAATACGCCTATCCATGTCAAAAACTAAAACAGACCTTCTTCCCTTCCGGAAAAGGGAAATTACTCACGAATTGAATTCCTTTGAAAAATATTGCTGAAGACATCTAATAACTCTTTTAGTTTTTTAATGAAATCTTCGTAAATAAAGAAAATCAAAAATCGGAACAAAACAATGGTAATAAATTAATATTCAATGAGTACATATAATATATGAAATAAAGTCAAACGGATAAACATCGAATATGCTCAAGGTCCTTTACAAGTTGACGAAATACCAACACATGCCTTTAAATTATCGTCAAATTTCAGTTGTACTGGACATGGTCTGGTAAACACACCACTTGGAGCACACGTAAGGTAGTAATGGCACCCTTTGCAAGACTGGTGGTCTCCTAATCCTTTGTTCATGCAAGTATCCGTTCCATTTCCACATCCGTCTGGAAAAAAAACGAGTATGAATATGTGGCAAACATAAATACAGTAAAAACTATTTGAAAATCAATCGATAAAAACTGTTTTCAAATGAATCGAAAATTACAGATTAACATTTTTCACCACACCATACCAATGTTTTTGAAAAACCAAAACAACTTTGAAATGGTTGGAATCTCTACTTACTTGTAAAAAAGTTATTTCCTATTGTTAAACATTGACCACCAATTGGACACGGCAAATTCATACCTCCTGGTTCTGAAATAAAAAAACCAGTTAAGTGTTGCAAAATATATGACCATCATGTTGTAATTATAAACTAGTTATCCATACATAAACTGGATATACTTGTAGTGATCGATGTACATCTGTTTCTCTCTGTGTGTGTGTGTAAAAATTAAACGTGTTATGTCGCTGTTATATACGCGAAGTCACTTATCTATTTTTTAGTTTTAGAAGAAATCTTGTATTTCTACTGCAAATCGACAATCGTCCAGAATATGCCTGAAATATTTGCCATTGGATGTTATGCAACCAACAATCATTCAACAAATATTACTACAGCGCTTATGTTTAAATTTTTATTTTCCCATAATTTTACAAATTCTTACACAAAAAAAGAATTATCAGTCATATTAAATGAATTATACGTTTGACAGATACACAAGTAAAGTTATGTCGCTTTTTTCAATACTTCCCATTCAATATGGGTCATGATAAATCCTTGTCTGACTGACCAAAGCCTTGTATTTAAAACATAAAATTAAACAATTTAACTTTTGGAAATCGGTCATTTCTTAAGACTTAACATAAAAATAAGAAGATGTGGTATGATTGCAAATGATTGATTGATTGATTATTTGGTGTTTAATGCCACTTTCAACACTATTGTGCTATATCGTGGCGGTCAGTTTTTATTGGTGGAGGAAGCCGGAGCGCCCGGAGAGAACCACCGAACTTCGGTAGGAAAACTGACAATCCTAGTCAATTAAGATTTGAGTCGAGCGCACCTGTCACTTGCCGAAGATTGCCAATGAGACAACTCTCCATCAGAAACCAAATAATACAGAAGTTATCATCTATAGGCCTGATTTATGTACAAAACAATAACGAAAACAAATATGCTAAACAGCAACAAACGACAGCCACTGAATTACAGTCTCCTGACTTGAGACAGGCACATACCTTATTTAATCATCAAACTTGTTTAATGTTTATTATTGACAAAAACGTATACTGTACAGCCTTCATCAAAATCGTCTATTAAAACTTAAAATTAAACAATTAACTTTTGAAAATCGGTAAATTCTTGATAGTTAATACCAACAAAAAGATTATTTACAATTCAATTGCTTGGTGAAATCAAAAATCAAAAATTAAATATATTATAGTAAAATATGTTTCCCTTTTCAAGAAGTTATGGTTTCTTTCTTTTTTTTCTTTCTTTCTGATCCATAGTATATTTTTGTCACGTTAGTAAAGTTCACTTGCTTCAATTTTTAAACTAAAATATATATTCAGATTCAATTATAGAATTATAAGCACACTTAACCAAAAGTAACATTACTGGTTTTTTTCAAACTGTTTTCTTTTTTTAGAAAATGTGCCAACTTACTCTTAGTTGGGACAATTTGTTTCAATGTAGCTGGAATGAGATTTGATGGAGGTGTAATGAGACCACCATTTCCGCTACCAGTTCCGGTTCCGGGTCCGCCAGGTCCTGTCCCTCCAGGGGTAGGACAGCCAGCTCCAACAAGTCCATGACCAGAACCATTTATATTGTTATTGTTGTTGTTATTATTGTTGTTGCTGTATATTGCGTTCGCAGGTGGTGTCCAGTCTACATATAAAAACATTGAAGGATATATGTCCTTATTACCAAATTCTTTTTTCATGAATGCCTTATCTTTTTTTTTACTCAGTTATTTTACATGTCAACGAGTTTTTCGTAGAAAATTAAAAAAAAACAATACTTCAGAGTCAAATTAGTTTTATCGAAGCAATGCACGTATATCTTACTTTTTGCCATTAAAAGTAGACATATTAACTTGTCCTTTTATGTACAAATTTGATTTGTAAAAAGTATTGAAAGTCAGATTTTATCTGCACTATATCTATAGAAATGTCAATTAAAAGGAATTACTTTTGTAAAATTATCTGGATTGTTGCTAATTATTATTATCTCTTTGAAACTTACATTTCTTTTTCTCACATACATATGGTAAAGGGGCAAAACAATTGACATCATTCAGTTCGGAGTTGACAAATTCACCGCAGTGTTCACTACCAGCATAATTGTCTGGATTTCCCTTCTTCCATGGTCTAAAAAACAAATTCTGGTTTGGTTACATTCCAATAATCGCATAGTATTTTCTTATTATTGTAATAAAATAAATCTGGCAGATTTATTATTACATTTCGAAAAACGGGAAAACATACAGGTCAATTTTTTCAAGTTGGAGATCATGAACTATTTTTATTTTTTTTATTTAAATACTTTTGTCACAATTTTCAACGCGGTATGTAGCTAACATTAAAAAAATGAAACATGAAATAGATGTTCGTTAACTTTTAGAAAAGTTGTCTTAGGGAAATCTATGAACGTAACACTTACAACAAAGAAAGATCATGTGGTGTTCCATCTGTCCATACATATTTACTGGAGTCTTTTCTTGGTCGATTGTTCAAACCGATCCATACCTGATATAGTTGGTTGCTTGCAAATTTAGAATGTTGTATTTGTGATAATCGCGTCGTCAGCCAACTCTACAAAATGGTAATATGTTTTGAAATTATGATTTACATATCAATTTTTTGTACAGTGTAGTACTATGAAATAAAATATAGTTAGCAGAAAATCTAAATTTCTTCGCCTCTCAACGTCTGGCAGAAGTTTTTATTTAGATTTCTCAGTGTCCAAAATCGCTGAATCCATCTTACATCTATGTTTATGACTAACCGCGCGTGATGATTGTCAAGCATACATGAGGGACTGAATGGGGGTCCTTCATTTCTGTATTCTTTATTTTTTTAGGTCATTTTTCTCTATTCTTTATATTTTAGCACCTCATTCTTCTCTTTTCATTATTTTCTGGTCCATTTTTCTCTATTCTTTATAATTTTTGCCCATTATTCTCTATTCTGTAAACCCCCATCCACACCATCATCCATGTAAAACGTTATTCAGTCTCTGATAGCTCATATTCCTTAAAGACTTACATATAATCATATCCAGATTGAAGATATGTATACCCCAAATATCTAATATTTTTATCTTTTATACAATTCATATGTACTAGAGCACATTGGTAAAATAAAAGAAATATTACTGTATTGTTCGAAAATGGTTGACGAACAGGGTCTTTCAAATGATTTGAATCCGTTTGCTTTTGTCATCAAATTATTTGTTATGTCACCTATAACCATATCATTAGAGAGCAGACAACCCTTAATTCCATGGGGGGGGGGGGGGATTTTATTCTTATCCATTCAAAATCAACACGATCTACATACAATCTTCAACAAGTTCAAGAACAGGCCGTGATCAGGGGTATTTCCCGTAGTGATAAATTCTAGTTGCTTGAGTTTTTGATCGTCCATAAACCTGTATTTTTACCTCACATGAACTACTCCGAAAATAATAAATTAAATTCTAATCTTTTTTCAGAAGGAAATCATCATTAGATTTCTTTCATTTGGTCGCTGTTATTCCTACAACCAAACAAGGGTTTAACATTTCGTCTATTCGTCACTATGGTTTACTAGTTACATATCTAACCATTTGCCATGAACGGATGCGACATAATTTTTCTACAACAAACTTGAGTCGAACTTTTGATTAATCCTTAGAACTTTTTTCATATACAGTGTATGGTTGCAAAATACTTGATGCATTTAGTTAAGAATTTGTTTGTCAATGGTAGAAACTTATGTATCTTTCGCCTCTCTTTTAGCTGTATGTGGCTAAACTTTTAAGAATTTTGAGACTTCAATGCTCTTCAACTTCGAACTATATTTGGCCTTTTTAACTTTTTATGTGAGTGTCACCAATGAGTCATTTGTAGACGAAACATGCGTCTGGCGTCTGGCGTAGAAAATTTTAATCCTGGTATCTATGATGAGTTTATTTACCGGTGTTATCTACGTGCAATATATTACTGCAATACGTCTGAATAAATATTATTTAAACAATTTTATTACCTTTTCGGCTTGACTGTCTATTTTAAGCAAGTCTCCTTGATTGTTTAGACAGTCTTGCCTTGCTTCCATCCAAGATTTTGTCTTTTTAGATGTGATTATGTAGCAATCATCTGTACCAGGTCTTCCCTCCCAACCCGTGGGACATTTCCCTAGTGGATCTGTAAGAAAAATGAATACATCTTATTCTTTTATTCTTTTTTTTTAATTTTAAAGACATTGCAGAAAGAACTATTATAAAAATCCCAAGCGAAAACTCTTTGTGTTATTTTGAGAGAAAAAAAAATGATTTTTAATATCACTTTACCAAATTATGCACTGAATATCTAGGAACAACATAACAATCTTCAAATATATATATATATATAAACGAACTCGTCTTAACATCAACCCAACAATGTTAGATCTGTTTTGTTCTTCCCTCGCCGGGATTCGAACTCATGCTACTGAGATATCGTGACACCAAATCGCCTGCACTGTATCCGACGCGCTAGACCACTCGACCACCTAGGCTTCAAAAATAAAGCTTTCGGTGGCCGGGTGTTACCTTTCATCGTCAGTTTTAGTCTAGCGTCGTAATACAGTACATGATATATAAGGCATGAAGATGGGATTGTTACAGATCAGCTGAAATATATATTGTGAAGGATCTTACAAATTAATGCAAGATACAGTCACAGAAATAATTATATTTATAAGGACGTCTGAACCAGTGACAACTCTACAACAAATTTATCCATCGGATCACAGCAGTATATATATATATACAAGTCTAAATTGAAAACAACGTTCTAACCTATGATTGCGTTGGATAAAAACCGCAATTTTCATACGTGTGCATGCAAAACAAATTTCTTGGAAGAGGGGTACAGCACAAACAAAATTTTCCAAAAGACCAAAAAGTGAAAAAGTATATTTTAACAAAACGCATTTGACTAACAGGTCGAACAACTGATGTTCTTAAACCCTGCTGACTGTCATTGGCGATTGCCAAATAAACGTATTACCAGATGTAAAAAATGGATCTTAATTATACCCCACGCAAATGTTTTGCGAAGGGTATAATGTTTTTGACCCGTCCGTCCGTCTGTCTTTCCGTCCGTGCGTCCGTCTGTCCGTCAGTCCGTCATTCCTGTTTCTTGTCATTGCAACTCCTCTCAAACCACACAACAGAATTTCATGAAACCTTTTTAGATAATAAGGACATACTATGTAAATCTGCATATCGACAGCAATTTACGAATCAAGTTTTTTCCCAGGAGTTACGCCCCTTTGAACTTATTTGCCCAATATACTACTGCAACCTTTTGTCATCGCAACTCCTCTGAAACCACACCACAGAATTTCATGAAACTTTGTAGATATTAAGGACATACTATGTAGATGTGCATATCGACAGGAAATTACGATTCATTTTTTTTTTCTAGGAGTTACGCCCCTTTGAACTTATTTGCTTCAATGTACTTCTGCAACAGTTTGTCATCGCATCTCCTCTGAAACCACACAGCAGAATTTCATGAAACTTTGTAGATAATAAGGATATGCTATGTAGATGTGCATATTGACAGGAAATTATGATTCAATTTTTTTTTCTTACACTTATTTTATTTCTCCAATGACAATGTGGGGACGTGGGGTATGTGAGCGCGCTCACTATGGTTCTTTAATTATTAATTTGATACCAAACAGAAAACAATAAACTTGCGGAAAAGATGGTATACCGCAAACATGAGGTGCAAAAATTTGTACACCATATCCGGATTTCGACAATGAATGTCTCTTCAGTGATGTTAGGAATCGAAACGGCCATATAATTTACCTCAATTTAGGATAAACTCTTGAATTTTGAAGAGTCGTAATAGGATGAACGGATCATATAAGCCCGAAGGAAAATATAATATAAGCCCAAATGAAAAAAATATAAACAAGTCTAAATTGAAAACAACGTTCAAACCTATGATTGCGTTGGATAAAAACCGCAATTTTTATACGTGTGCATGCAAAACAAATTTCTTGGTAGAGGGGTCTAAATACAGCAGAAACAACATTTTCCAAAAGACCAAAAAAAGTATATTTTAACAAAAAGTATTTGACTTACAGGTCGTACAACTGATGTTCTTAAACCCTGCCGACTGCCATTGGCGATTGCCAAATAAACGTATCACCAGATGTAAAAAATGGATCTTAATTATTAATTCAATACCAAACATATATGTATATATATATATATATATATATATATATACAAGTCAAGCACAAGTCAAGTATATATATATATACCAAGAAATTTGTTTTGCATAAAAATTGCGGTTTTTATCCAACGCAATCATAGGTTTGAACGTTGTTTTCAATTTATATATATATTGCATACAATACCTGAATCAGTTGGACAGCCAATTAGGTCAAAACGCATGGAGATATGTGATAGCCAGTTGATTGGATGGATTCTGACGTACTGAGCAATGATTGGACATCCTAACATGTTTGTAACTACTGATTCCTCATCTTTTAAGTTTCCCGTAAACTCCTACAAAGTGGAGTATAAATGCATGTGTTATGAAATTCTCTTCATATTTAATATGAATGAATTTGACAATATTGTGATCAATGTTTAGTTTTCTAAGTTTGATTATATTTTTCGTATAAGTTCTTTTTTTATTGCTATGTATTTTACAGTGTTATTGTCTATTGCAGTCAATTTTCACAAACAAAAATGTGTGTTATTCTCCTAATAAATGTGTTTACATACCTGCTTATTCCCTTGTGGGTCTTTAATGAATTCATATTTTGCACCATCAATACTGTATGAAACAGCAAATTTCGTCACTCTCTCATGACAACACTTGGTGACTATATCTACATTTCGTCCTTGTGTCACTACGCCTCGAATAGTACTCACTTTGTTTAGTTCTACCTACATGCAAAATCATGAAACTTAATACTCCCGTATCAGTTTTGGGGCATATTAAGCAATAAAAACATAAATAAAGGAACATAGGTCCTTATGAAATAAAAAATACATATCTAGTGTTCACCTTATGTCCATCAACAATGATAAAGCAACTTCACTATATGACAAGATTTTTGGTACAACAATATAACGCAAATGCATTCAATTTATCATTCTGTCTGTGACTGTCCAAAGTCAGGAGCTGGTAATTCAGTGTTTGTCGTTTGTAGCTGTATATCATATTTGTTTTTCGTTCATGATTTTGTACATAAATCAGGTCGTTAATTTGATCGTTTGAATTCTTTTGCAATTATCATTTCGGGGCCTTTAATAGCTGATTATGCGGTATGGGTTTTGCTCATTTTTGAAGACCGATAGCTGTTAACTTCTTTGTCATTTGGTCTCTGGTGGATAGTTGTCTGATGGCAATTATACCACATCTTCTTATTTCTATATTAATTCAAAACTTTAAACCTGATACAGGACGGACGAACGGACGGATGGTCACAGATAGGAAAACAGTACGCCCCTTACTTTCGAAAGCTGGTCATGAAAAATTCAAATTTCTTAGAATTACCTGAATGAATTGATTTTTATCATTAATTGCTGCAGACCATCCACCTCCTAGTACTGTACCATTCTGAAAGTCTATTGTTGGTGTATGTAATCGTGCTCGATCAGCTCTAAAGTTGTTAGAGGATCCATTTGTAAAGAATGTGGACGCCTGGATTTGTGTGTTGGTCACTCCTTTCGGACCGGAGACAAGGTACTGGTGACACACTTGATGACCTGTTAATTACTCCAAATTGTTAAGTTTTTTCATAATGAGGCTGTTAAAAGTTAAATAAGCAAACTATGCGTCTTTAGTTCGTCATTTCAGGAACTACGTGTGTTAAAAACTTGATGGAGAACATTAAATTGGGATATTCCTTTCATATATTGTTATTTCTTTATAGTTTATTCATGACAATTTTATCTTGTGTAGATACATTTCCACATCATGTGTTCATCTACCCCGTATCCTTCCTTTAAAAAAAATCAAAGTTACGACGGGTGCCACATGTGGAGCAGGATATTCTTACCTTCCGGAGCACCTGAGATCACTCTCGGTTTTTGGTGGGGTTAGTGTTTGCTCAGTCTTTAGTTTTCTATGTTGTGTTTTGTGTACTATTGTTTTTCTTGTCGTCGTTTTTCCCTTAAATTATCAGTTTGTTTTTTTTCTACTTATGAGTTTGAATATCCCTAGGGTATCTTTCGCCTCTCTTTTACAATAAAGATGCATACATGTGTATGTTAAGATAAAATTGATGGTATTTTACCAATAAATGTCCAACAACGGATCTTTTGTGCCTATAAATGCCGAAACACTACTCCCATATGGTATTTCTTTCATTCATCACCTTTTTTCAAAAAACAATATTAACTTTGCTGTGTTCTTACCTGTTATTGTTTTGGCTGTAGGTATATGAGTGGTTGGTCTTACCTGTAAGTAGTTTGACTGTAGTATAGTAGGTATGCTTACCTGTAAGTGGTATTTGACTGTAGTATAGTAGGTGTGCTTACCTGTAAGTGGTTTGACTGTAGTATAGTTGGTGTGCTTACCCGTAAGTGGTTTTACTGTCGGTTTGACTGTAGTAGCAGGTGTGGTTGTAGTTGTGGTGGTGGTAGTAGTTGTTGGGACTGGATCACAATCATATATGATATCTAAATATTTGGGTACATTCTGACATGGATCTTCACCAAGAAATTGTGTGGACGCAGTGAGTTGACAGACATCCTTATTATTACACGCCTGTGCTATTTTCCCGGTTACCCTTCCGGATGAATAGCAATTTACTGATTGATGACTTCTGCACACTCTCGTTGATGTTCTTCCAAAATTAACACTTCTAATTTGTATAACTTCTCCTGACTGGCAGGAAATTGATTTTGTTTGAAAGTCACATATAATTGAGTTCACTAAAATATAGAAAATTCAGAAGTTTAAAACCAACCTTTAATGAGACGGGGCCATAAGAAAGAAAATGTGCGTTTGCCTCAGTTATGGTTTACCAAAATTAAAACAATGAATGACACTTGTAATTTTAATGATACAAAACGTGGTTCTGTCAGTAGTTCTCGTTTTTATTATTAACCATATGCTTTTCGTCTGAGTTGCATGTGCGCACAAATGATCTGGATGGTACACAGTTTCTATGTCGATATTCTTAAAGTTTGATATTTTGGCGCTTATAAGCTACTCATGTTCAATCAAATACAAATGTAAATTCCAGTCTGAGTTTGCTACATGTGCTCTCAAATAATCTTGATTCATAAACAGTTTCTGTGTCGACGTTCTCAATGTTTAATATTTGCCGCTTATGTTTAAAGTATATGACGCATTTCATTAGAAGATACAGTACATAGATATTCCTCGATATTAAGGAAAAATAAAGAATTTTAAGGTTAAGTGACCTGTCACCTTACTTTTGTCGTCTGGTCTCTTAATGCCCATTTGGACTTTCTGCACGGTTAAATGTTTCAAAGCTTTTCAAACTTTTACAAGCGTACCTGATGATGTCTGTAAACTCTAGAACTACAAATGTGATGATTGGGAAATTATGATTTTGAATTTATTTGAATACTTACATGAGTATACAAAGGTTGGAAGACAAACTGAAAAAGAATAAAGCAAGTCAATTAGAATTAATAATTTTTCAGTGGATTGATGTTACTGAAACTCTTATCTCCATTATCTTGCGTCGATTGTAATTCTTTTTTTTTAATTGCTTTTTTTGCAGAAACACATTAAATATGACATTGAATGGCTCTGATCGCGTATGATGAAGTTACTCCAAACTTCTCAGAGTGAAAAATGGTCGATATTACACTTCGGAACATGTGCTGAGGCACTGAGTTATATTCTGATGAATTTTAGTTAAGTTTTGCCATTCTTATTATATAGAAATGGTTAACACAGCCTTAAATAATTATGTCTGTTCTTTAAATTTCTTGTTTTTCTGCTATTACGTTTTTACTTCCTTTTTTGTCCCTCTCGGTGTTAATAACGAAGATAAAAATTAAAAAGCGCTTCGGGCTGTCTGGTTCTATTTACAACTGAAGCATCGTCATTCTAACAGATTTTTTTGTCTTGCCTGAATTCATATATATTATTCGAAGTAACCTCTTATTATGACAAATATATAAATTCGTTGTTTGGAATTTAAAGAAATTTGAGATATATTTGATATGATCGTTATTGAAAAAAAACACAGCATTGTGTATTTCACGATATTCTTTCTAAAACAAAATATATTTAGAATTTCATAATTGTTGTACTTACCAAAAATTAAAAAAAATTTCATGTTGATTATATAACAAGGAAACTAAGTTAAATCCACAAAGTATATTGTAAAAAGTTCGATCCTCTAAGTTGGTATTTTGTCACTTTTGTACGGTCATATCAAACCAGTGTTCACAGCCTTCTTGTCTCCGAACGTTCTAACTTAAGTTCTGATCACAGAAGAATTTATCCTCGTTTTATTTGTGACAAACCTACTTACCTTGGGCTATTTTTGTCAGGGGATGTGACTCGGGTGTTGTTTGTTTACACAACTTTAGGGGTCTATCTGGTAGGTAGTTTTATCAATCGCACTAGATTTGTAATGTGTTTAACATGAAAATCATTTGCAAAACAACACGATATTTTGTGTACTCCCCCGCACTACAGTAAATTATTGTAAATTACGCAAATATGAATTATTGTGGTACACGTGGACCATGCAAAGTAATGCGGGTGGTCATTCTTTCGTGTAAATACGTGCCTGTTTTGCCATAACTTTCATCTTTTTCAGATAACAGTTCAACTTCAATTGGTCCTCGAATGGCTTTGTTTTCGTATAAACTAATTATTTTAGTTTTAAACATCAAAACAAACGGATTACGCTTTTAACCTCAAAAGAATGTTGTCATATTTGAAATGTTCAAATACGATAACTTTTACTTCGAACCTTCTGGTTTCATTCTTACATAAATATCAACTCATAATGTACCATTGTCAAATATTTAAAAAACGTGAATTCTATTTTATATTTAAAATGAATGTTACAGTTACAGTGAAGGACACTATGCTTTCTATGTCAGCAGGTGTAAGCACACTGGACTTACATTCAATAACAGTGCGATATTTTCTATATTATAGAGCATTCTTCTCTTCCTCTGACTGTGATTGGAAAGGGGATGGCTGGGTGCTCAAACAAACCTTGTAAGCATTGGTAAATGTTCGCGGGACTGTCCCAAGTTAGGAACCACGTCAGTAGTTGTCTATAGTTATGTCATCATTTTTTTTATTTGTCCTTGAAGAAATTTGGTTTTGATGGCAAATATGTGTTAATCTGAGTATTATCTATTCACAGCTTTTCTAAGTTGGACGATTTAGAGACTGACGTATTGTATAGTTATTTAGACTGACGTATTGTATAGTTATTTAGAGACTGACGTATTGTATAGTTATTTAGATATCGTGATGATCTCTAGATGTCTATATTCTATTTGCTTGTTTAACACTGTCACATTCTTTATGTGTCTGTCCCAAGTCGGGAACCTGGAATCAGTTTCACAAAAAAACTTTCGACTAAGATTGATCGTATGTATACTAAATTGTTCATAACTTACGATCAATCTTAGTCGTAAGTTTTTTTTTTGTGAAACCGACTCCTGTAGTTCAGAGGTTGTCGCTGGTTGCCGTCTACCAGAATTGTTGTTCGTTTATTGTTATAAGCTATAATCTGATCGTTATTTTTCTCTTTAAAACTGTTTTTCATTTTGTTAACCCTAGGCCTAGAAAGTTGGTCGTTGCTTTTCTCCGCTAAGCACACGACATTTAGAAATCCTGGATAATCATAGGTCTGTTCTATGTTCTTTTGGAATTTCAACCAAAGATGAAGAACTGGATCTTCCATCACTGTATTGGATACCTAAACTACATAAGTGTCCTTACAAACAACGGTATATTGCTGGGTCTTCCAAGTGCTCCACGAAACCTCTTTCTAAATTATTAACATCTATTTTATCAGCAATCAAAGCCGGGTTCCAAAGTTATTGTGAAACTGCCTATTCTAGAGGTGGCGTGAATAAGATGTGGATACTAAAAAATTCCAAAAGATCTTTTAGAGTACATACAATCTAAGACTCTCTCATCTTTCAATAGTATTAAAACATTTGACTTTTCTACACTTTACACAAGTATTCCCCATTCCAAACTAAAAGACAAATTGAAAGAGTTGCTATTACTTTGTTTCATTAAAAAGAATGGCGAACGTAGATACAAGTATCTTGTCTTGGGAGGGATAAATCCTACTTTGTAAGGAATCACTCTGATTTAAACAAAAAATTCTCTGAAACTGACATTATCAAGATGCTTGATTTCTTGATTGACAACATATTTGTTACGTTTGGAGGACGCGTTTTTCAACAGACTGTCGGAATTCCAATGGGAACCAATTGTGCCCCTCTTCTTGCCGACTTGTTTCTTTATTATTATGAGGCTGACCTCATACAGGAACTTCTTAGGAAGAAAGATAAAAAGTTAGCAATATCCGTTAACTTTACGTTCCGCTATATAGATGATGTTCTCTCACTAAATGATACAAAATTTGGTGACTATGTTGAACGAATCTATCCCATCGAACTAGAGATAAAGGATACTACAGATACAGTTAAGTCTGCCTCATATCTTGACTTACATCTAGAAATTGACAATGAGGGTCGGTTGAAAACAAGACTTTACGACAAAAGAGATGATTTCAGCTTCCCAATTGTGAACTTTCTATTTCTATGTAGCAACATTCCAGCAGCGCCTGCATACGGAGTATATATCTCCCAATTGATACGATATTCCCGTGCTTGTATTTCCTTTCATGATTTCCTTGATAGAGGATTGCTGCTCACAAGGAAGCTATTAAACCAAGAGTTCCAAATGGTGAAGTTGAAATCATCCCTTCGTAAATTTTACGGACGCCATCACGAGTTGGTTGACCGTTATGGAATAACCGTTTCACAGATGATATCGGATATGTTCCTTATGTCGTAACTACAATGCCCTTCCCTTTTCACGAATGTGACCTACTGAATTAGACTATTTACCGGATTTGTAATAACATAAGCAACACGACGGGTGCCACATGTGGAGCAGTATCTGCTTACCCTTCCGGAGCACCTGAGATCATCCCCAGTTTTTGGTGGGGTTCGTGTTGCTTAGTCTTTAGTTTTCTATGTTGTGTCATCTGTACTATTATTTGTCTGTTTGTCTTTTTATTTTTGGCCATGGCGTTGTCAGTTTGTTTTCGATCTATGAGTTTGACTGTCCCTCTGGTATCTTTCGTCCCTCTTTTAGAAGTAAGACTTGTCGGTTCGGAGTCAGAATTATGAGTCTGGGTAGGGTGACATGACTTCCTGTTGACTCTTACATTGTGAACCAGCATGTCAAAAATCCGACTCAGAGTATCGGTCTAGTACAAAGCAGGGATTATTTTCTTATCACATTAGCATGTTCCTCGTCCTGAATATGCATTTAATTTGCCACTGGACATTAAAAGCCATCCAGCCATCCATTATTTTTGGCTCACCTGGAATATTGGCTATGTGAGGTATTGCTATCACTTGGCGTTTGTCGTCGTCGTTGTCTTCCGTCGTTTGTTTTGAACTTTATAAAAAATATTCTTCTCTGAAACTACTGAACCAATAAATACTAGTCATAGTCTGAAAGATCCTTGGGGTATCACCAAGTCTAATTTAGATAAGGGGGTTGTGCTCTGCATCTTGCAAAAGAGGATATCCAATTGTGTCGATTTGAACAAGAAAGGTCAGCAAATATCTGAACCGTTTTAATGAATAAAAAGTATTGCAAAGAATGTACTGTCACAGATAAAAGAGATATTTAAAGGACCAAGTTTGCATACATTAACTATACATGAAATAGTAGAACACTCGCGCAATGCATCAGGATTCCGTTAAAATTTTAAACTTGTACTCGACTTCTGTTTGAGCTTTTGACAGGTGATCTTTCGTAACCTAGATTGTTCAACTGTTCACTTACAACTAGCGCATTGCAAGGATAATTATTTTGTCACCTGAAATGTTATAATTTCAAAGTTTTCTAAAAAACGACTTGGTAGTAACATTGGGGACGATGATTTGTGTGTGACGGGGGTTGTGATTGTTATGTTAATTTGGTCCTAAGTTATCTATATTATAGTCTTATTACATTTATAAATAATGCAATTAAATTTATTTATCATCGCTTATGGCAACATTATTCTCAATGTTACATATTTTGTAATTCCGAACTTCAAAACAGAGCCTATCAATCACTTTTGTTTCAATGAAACAAGACATCAAATGCACCTGTTGAAGTACGAATTTGTTACATCATGACACATGACAACGATAAAATTTTGTCTGTATGTCTTGGATTATAATCTAAGTCACATAAAAGATACCAGGCTTATAATTTGGTACGCCAGACGCGAGTTTCGTCTACACAAGACTCGTCATTGGTTAAATCAATCTGTTTGTTAAATAAGCGTGTAGCTACCACTTGCAATATTGACAAAAACAAATGTGTTCGGATTTAAATAAAAAAAAAAAAAAACCGAACTCCAAGGAAAATTCAAAACGGAAAGTCCCTTATCAAATGGCAAAATCAAAAGCTCAAACACATCAGACGAATGGAAAACAACGGTCATATTCCTGATCATCATTTGGAACACAAGCACAAAACATGTCATATTCCCTATTGTGACATATTAAATGAGTTTGGATTCGCATGGCTGATGACTTATAAACAGAAGTAGGCGCCCACCTAGTTGACATATGTGTCTTCACTTCATTTATTCTAGTGATTATATTTTTAATGAATTAACGAAAGTTGAAATTCGATTACTACTGTTGCCTCTGCTATATATATGTTATACACGTGCTAAAGATTGATGTATGAGGTGTTGCTTGCTCAACCTCCAGTAACTCTCAGGACGAGAAACATTGACCCCTTACAGAATTGTTGAAGGGGGCCTATAACGCGTCGAGACAGCGTGACAATCACCAAACACGAGGCATCGAATTTTACGTCATATTCCGACCGAGCGTGAATGTGTATTTATACATCCCACGCCGATGGAAACGGACCGTCCCGCTTTAGCGAGGGTTTTACTGCCTGTGAAGGAAACCACATGTCTATACCACATTCAAACTATCGAGTAACGTACTAACAATGTTGATGTGCAAATATATAAATTTGAATAAAGACATTATATCTTTGCTAAAGGCAGGAATGAAACAAAACATATTAGGCATTAAGAAAGTTTGGTCTACAAAATTCTATTATAAATTGGATACAGACTTTATATACAAATATTAAAGAATGTGTAACAAATGATAGTTTGATCTCTGCGCCCTCTGACATTCATAGAGGGATTAGACAAGGCTGTCCGGTCAGCGCGATTATTTTCGTGAT